ATCAAACTCAACACCCAAAAAACAAATAATCCAGTCAAGAAGTGGGCAGAAGACACGAACAGACATTTCTGCCAAGAAGACATCCAAATGGCCAACAGACACATTGAAAATGCTCAATATCACAGCATCAGGGAAATACAAATCAAAACCACAATGAGATACCTCCTCACACCAGTCAGAATGGCTAAAATTAACAAGTCAGGAAACAACAAATGTTGGTGAGGTTGTAGAGAAAGGGGAGCCCTCCTACAGTGTTGGTGGGAAGGCAAGGTGGTACAGCCACTCTCGAAAACAGTATGAAGTTCCTCAAGAAGCTAAGAATAGAGCTACCTTAAGACCCAGCAATTGCACTACTAGGTATTTACTCCAAAGATACAAATGTAATGATCCAAAGGGGCACCTGCACCCCAATGTTTATAGCAGCAATGTCCACAATAGCCAAACAATAGAAAGAGCTGAAATGACCATCGACAGATGAATGGATAAAGATGTGATATGTACATACACACACACACACACACACACACACACACACACACACACACAAATATATACAACGGAATATTACTCAGCCATCAGAAAGGATGAAATCTTGCCATTTACATTGACGTGGATGGAACTAGAAGGGTGTTATGCTGAATGAAATAAGTCAATCAGAGAAAGACAATTATCATATGGTTTCACTCAAATGAGGAATATAAGAAATAGCACAGAGAATCATAGAGCAAGGGAGGGCAAAATGGAATGGGAAGAAATCAAAGAGGGAGACAAAGCATGAGACTCTTAACTATGGGAAAGAAACTGAGCGTTCTGGAGGGGAGGTGGGTGGGGGGATGGGGTAATTATGTGACGGGCATTAAGGAGGGCATGTGATGTAATGAGCACTGGGTGTTATATGCAATTGATGAACTACTGAACTCTACATTTGAAACTAATGATGTACTATATGTTGGTCAGTTGAATTTAAAGAAAAAAAAAAGAAAAGCTTTATGACATTGGATTTGGGAATGATTTATTGGATACAACACCAAAAGCACAGGCAAGAAAAGACAAAATAGACAAGTTAAACTTCATCAAAATTTTAAAACTTTTGTGTATCAAAGATATCAACAGAGTAAAAAGGCAGCCCATGGAATGGGAGAAAATGTTTACAAATCATATTTCTGGTGAGGGATTGCTATCCAGAATATATAAAGAGCTCTTACAATTCAGTGCACAAACACATGCACACACACAAACAGAATGGGCAATTCAAAAATGGGCAAAGGACTTAAATAGACATTTCTCCAAAGAAGATATACAAATGGCCCATAAGCACATGAAAAGATGCTTAATATCACTAGTCATCGGGGAAATGCAAATCAAAACCACAATGAGATACCACTCACACCCATAAGGATGGCTATTATTTAAAAAACCCAGGGCACCTGGCTGGCTCAGTCAGTAGAGCATGTGACTCATGATCTTGGGTTGTAATTTCGAGTCCCATGTTGGGTGTAGCAGTTACTTAAAAATAAAATCTTTTAAAAAATAAAATTAAAATTAAAAACCCAGAAAATAACAAGTATTGACAGGGATGTTGAAACTGTAGAATTCTTGTACATTCCTAGTGGGAGTGTAAAATGTTATAGCCACTGTGGGAAACTGTATTGGCAGTTCCTTAAAAATTTAAGCTTAGAATTGCCATAGGATCCAGCAGTTCCACCTCTGTAGTTAAAGAAGTCAAAAGAGAAAAGAAGTTAAACAAACTAAAAGAAGTTTAAGGAAAAAAATTAAGGAGAAAGGAAGGGAAGGCAGGGACTCAAATAGATATTTGTACACCCATGTTTATAGCAGCATGAGTCACCATAGAGAAACGTAGAAGTAACCTGCGTGTCCATAGACTGAAGAATGGATAAACAAAATGTGTTGTATACATGCAGTGGAGTATTATGCAGCCTGAAAAAGGAAGGAACTCTGACACATGCTACTACATGGACGAACCTTGAGGACATCACGCTAAATGAAATAAGCCAGTCATAAAAGGACAAATACCATATGTTTCCACCTATATGAGGTACTTAGAGTAGTCAAATTCATAGAGACAGAGAATAGAATGGAGGTTGCCAGGGCTGGAGGAAGGGGAAGATGGGGAGTTATCGTTTATTGGGTAAAGAGTTTCAGTTTTGCTCCTAATTCCATATATTTTTTGCTTATTTTTTTATCTTGAATTCAGGATTGTGCAATTATTCCTCTTTAATTTCAATACCAATTTTGATCTATTATTCCTCCCTCACAGCTCTCTTGGCCCCATCCTTCACTCTTCTTTGCCAGCAACCTCACCTCCTCAACGCTGGAGGACTTGTGCACGCCACCAATCAGCTTCCCCAGCTTTTGGGCTGCCCCTTGCTTCAATCCATTCTGCATGCCCCTGCCAGACCTATTTTATACAGTAATTGTCTTATCATGTAATTCCCCTGATCAAGACCGAAGAGTGGTTTCTATTGCTTCCCATATCAAATTGAGATTTCCTTTCTTGGCTTTTGAGGCCATCCTTCTTTCCTTCTCTTTTCAATTTCATTCTATTACTCAAATGACTATTTTGGTGAAGCTGTTACCTTCACTGTCAGCCGGTCTGATCGTCTCCCCTGTTCATTCCCACTTCCATTCCCTCATGTGTGTTGTCCCTCTGCATGTCCTCCACCCCCAGCTTTATTATAGGGACCAACTCATGTACCACAACCACCATGACATCTTTCCTGGCCACCCAAATTCACATCCATCCTTCATTTCTCTCATTCATTTAACAAGTATTTACAGATTCCTCTTAGAATGTAAGCACTGTGCTAGATGCTGATGAATACGTGATAAGAAAAATTCATTTCTTGACTTCATGGAGTGGGTGAGATAGACTAAACAATTGCTCTAAGGGACACAAATGGGATGCTGTGATACCAAATGGTGTGTGTGTGTGTGTGTGTGTGTGTGTGCGTGCGTGTGTGTGTGTGTGTGTGTATGTGGTGGGGATGGGTGGGTATTTTGATGGGTAATCAGAAAAGGCCTTTTTGAGGAGGTAACAAATAAGCTGGGACCTAAGGAGGTGAAAGCATCAGCCACCGGAAGGGGCTGGAGTCAAGAGCATGCTAGTCCAAGGAACCAGTGTGTGTGAGTCCGGAAGCATGAAGAAGAGCTTGGCACACCGGAGATATTGGACTTAGAATGGTTTGGCTGGAGCATAGTGAGTAAGGGTAGAGGGGCGTGAAGTGGAACTAGAGAGGTGCCCGGGACCTGGTAGGCCATGTGAAAGAGCTTAGATTTTAGACGAATTGCACTGGGAAGCCATTAAAGATCTTCAAGGAAGGAATTGATGTATATGAGCTAAACATTTTAAGATCGCTCTGGCTACTATGTGGAGAGTAGACTGAAGAACAGCAAGAGTGGAAGTAAAAATTAAGAAATGAATGTAGGGGCGCCTGGCTGGCTCAGTCAGAAGGAGCCTGCAACTCTTGATCTCGGGGTTGTGAGTCTGAGCCCCACGTTGGGTGTAGAGATGACTTAAATGAACAAATAAAAACGTAAGAGGAAAAAAAAGAAATGAATGTAATAGACCAGGTGAAAGATGGCAACTTGAACTGGAATGGAAAGAAGTAGATGGATTTAAGATATGTTTGGAAATAGATATAAAAGGATTTGCTGATGGTTTTATGTGAGGAGTAAAGAATTAAGAGTGAGTCCTGTGTCTGACCTGAGAACTAGGTGGTGGGACCTGTATGATTTATGGAGATTCAACGTGGGGGAAATGCAGCAGTGAAGTTTAGGACTTGTTAAGTTTGAGGTGCCTGCAAGACTCTCACAAGGCAGTGTCAGGGTGCCAGTTGACTCTACAAGTCTAGAACTCCTATAAAAGGCAGTGAGGGAGATAGAAATTCTAGAGCTGTTAGCATACAGACGGTGACTGGATGAATTAGAAGAGTAAGCAGAAGGCCTAGGACCAAGCCGAGGCCCTGTTTGTCTGATGACGGGAATGATCGAAAGCAAGGGGAGAGATTCATAATGCAGGAAGGGGGTCGGAGGTATCACCACAAGACCAGTAACTTCATTCTGTATGGCCCTAGTCTGTCTTTATTGGCTAATGCAGTAATTATTTCAGTATGTAATATGAACAGGGAATACGGTGATGTGGAGAATAGACTATGGTCCTACTCTGTAGTCATTGCTGGCATGTATCTTCTCCATGAGACGCATGTCCGTTCCTTGTAGGTGACTACTACAATGTCCCTATATTCCACTGTGCCCCTACAGTGCAGGATACAAAGTAGATGCTCAGTGCTTCTTGATTAAGTGGTGGTAAGACTGTCTTATAAAGGCCCTTGCTGAAGCCATGGACTCTGCTGCACAGTGCTAAAGATCATTTCTTTCCTGAGCCAAGTGATGCCTGATACTTTGTATGGATATGATCTTTCTATTTCCTTACTGGTATTATTACACTTTTAAATAGTAATGATTATATTTTAAAGGTCTTGCAGGCACTAAGAACAACAGGAATGAAGAGAATTCTAGGGATTCTCCAGCTTCATTGACAAGGAAAAAACAAACTAATCTTCACAGCGGCGTGTTGACATTTCAAAACTGGCATTTAATTATTTACATACCTTAGTATATTAAAGGTACATATACACTTGTATAAATAAATCTGTGTGTGTGTGTGTGTGTAAAAATTTTTAATAGCACAACTACTGACAGCTAGAATAAAGAGCCTGGGAGAATTTTTGCAGTTGGGGAACAAAATAAATCACAGTAATCCGTGATTCCCTGTAACCAAACCGGATTTTTTCAACCTGTTCTTTGGAATCCCAGGGTCCTTCATAATTGCTTTGGGCTTTGAGGGGTTATTTTGCAAGGGAAGACTGAGTTCTTGTGCATTTGGTGAAATAGCTGCATTTTTCCATGCTTTAAATATGTGTGAGGAAATCCTTTCTGAACCTTCTCTTAATCTTCTCTGTCTGTGATCATATACTCACCTTCTTCTTCTAGCAGTATTGGTTGCCAAGCACAACTAAGCACTGAGCCAGAAAGTGAACAACAGTTGGAGTGTGGTCACCTGTAGGCAGAAAACAGATCGCATCCATTATAGTAAACCAGATAAAGAGCCATGTTAAAGACAGAGACAATTTTTATTTCTACAATCCTCATAGCATACCTTCTTTTTAACCTAGTTTATTATTCAACTGCCTCCAATATAAAATGTTTGGCCACAGACTGGCTTTTGTGCTTTACAAACTATTTGCTCTAGATGTGTCATTAGAATCTTATCACCAAATTAAGATGCCATGACTTTTCTTAAATACAAGGGCTTGAGGCTTTGAAAAACAATTACTGGTCTAGGTTAGAGAAAAGAAAGTGGCAGTAAAGCTCAAGTTCTTTAAACAGCACAGAAAATACAATTTAATGTTTTTTAAAGCAAAAGAGGTGAGTTTGTGAGCTGGATTTTGCAGAATAAGCAAGTCTTTGCAAATGACCTTGCCGTGTTCTCCCACCCCACCCCTGCCCATCTCCCACACCACAGCACACTCCTCCTCCTGAGGGGCCAACATGATCACCTGAGTCCCTTGCTTAAAACATTGATGGAGTTCAGGCTCCTCAGTGGGCCACACCGGGCCCTCTCTCCCTCGGCTCGCTTCTCACCTCCACCTCCTTTATAGCTCCCACCCAGTTTCAAGAGGCAGGTCTTTGCTGTGCCCACTTCCCCTGTTTAAATGCCCACCACCACCTTCCACCTAGGGGAAAAGTCACCTTCCCGTTGAGGCTTCAGGGTACCTTCCTCTCTGGCCTGCTGCCCCCTGCACCATCGCCACAGTAACGACCGTATTGTACTCTAATAATCAATTTACGCACCTGTTTCCTTGTCCCAGCCTCAGCATGGTTCTGGACACACAGGAGGTGCTCTCTAGATGGTGGTTGCTGAGGAAATGAGTCCTTGTCTTAACTACAGCTTCCCTGTCCTCTCAGCACTTTGAAAGTTCTCAGAAAAGGAAAAGGAAATGACTAAAGTGTAGACCGTTTAAACAGAACACAACCACCACCCTGCCCGGGGTACCACCCACTACCACTGGGGAGGAGGAAGAAGGAGCACTGAGGCCAAGAGCCCAGCAGCACTGCTGTGGAGGTGCTGTGATTTCTCTGGTTTACAACAGCCAGGACCGGCTACATAATCTGGGGGGCCCAGTGCAAAATGGAAATGTGGGGTCCCCTACCCAAAGATTGTTGAGAATTTCAGCAGACCAAGACGCAGCCCAGGGCAGCTGCACAGGTCGCACACAGTGAAAGCTGGCCCTGTTGACAGCACGAGAGTAGAGAGGCTGAGAGAAATTTTGGATTAATTTTTTTAAAGAGTAGCTTTAAATCTGTAAATTTGTTTTAGAATTTCTATTTTCTCATGCCTCACTCCTCATAAGACCCCTACAATTATTTATTTTCATTTAGAAGTACAGACTCTTTCAAAATGTTTATTTATTCCATGTTGTTTTAGGAAAAATACCACATACTCTTTGTCAGTCCTTGAGGAATAATGCTATGATCCACACCCCACCACGTAGCCCTGAAATGAAGTAACACATCATTATTGCATTTCCTCCATTCAGCCTCTCAGTTTGGGGGAGACTGGCTAGGCTTTCACAGGATTGTGTTAACATGAAATATCTTTATCAACCTTTTGCTAATTTGTAAAAATTCGTTCTCTGTGCAATAGCATCCAGTCTCTCAAGTGTGATTTTCTTTCACAGTATTCTTAGTAAATTAGAAATTGTTCTGTTTAAACCCCAAATGAACTTAGTTTACCAGATATCATCGTGATGAAATGTTGTTGGTATCTGCTGACAATGTAAATGAATGAAGATTTATGAAGGGGTCTTTTCAAAACTCAGCTACTCTGCGGTGGGCAGCTCATTTGCACTGCCGCGCCTTCTCCAGCAGGGGGCCGCGCGAGCGCTGTCACATGCCCAGCTTCGCCCAGCAGGGGCCACCTGGCTCCTGCCCACCCTGCGCTCCCTCCGAGGGACAGTAGGAGGGGACTACACACTATCGGTGAGCACAGCACTATCAGCTGGAGCAGGGAGTGGGGCCCCCCAAGAAGCAAGTCCCGTGGACAGATGCCGGGTCGCAACCTTCCTTGGTTAGGGCTCTCCTCTCGCCGTTCCCCGTGCTGAGCTGTTTGCTCTCTTCCATACGCCTCAAAGCCGGAGAACCGAGCAATATGGCTAAATTCATGAAACCAAACGCTCATTTTACTCTCCTAGCATGAAATGTTCACCACGCAGGCCCATCTGAATAGATCTGATTGTGCCAGAATTCTTAAACTTGAGCTCCGCTTTCTCATCGGCAAAGGCGATGATTAGCACCTACGTCTTAGGCCCCTCAAAGATTAGCACGAGCACGTGCATGGAGGTGACTGGTGGGGGAGGCGCTGCAATAGTTGGCTCACTTTTGTTGCCTGGGGCTGTCGTGTTACTGAGACGACAGGGCCACCAGCAGTGGAAGAGAAGAGAGAAAGTCAAAGGAAGAACTCCTACCGTAGAAACCAGCAGGGCCCAATTTATACAAGTTTCTCTGCAGCGGACTCTGCACCTGCTGCTCAGCCCTCCTCTCACCTATGAACAAACACGCACGCAGACGCCCACTCACCCAGCTAAAAACGCCTAGGACTCAAAGAGATACCCACACCAGAACGAACCCAAATGCACAGAAACACCAACAGCTAGTCCAGCAGAAAGGTACCTAGCAGGAGGCACGCTGCTGAGCTGAGGGAGGGTGGTGGGAGGTGAGCGGGGCCCAGACTGGGCAGAGCCCCAGAGGGGATGCCGGGGGAAGAAGGGAGACAGAAACCCACGGACTGTGGAAAACCACGATTTGCAGGTACAGTAGTAATGTTTTACCTTAGCAAGATCCAGGGACATTTCCGAGCTTATGCAAATGACGGAAAATACACCTTTAGCCGTAATTACTTCACACCATTAAATTGGCTCTCACAGAAATTCCTGGTAAAGACCATTAATTACCTCTAGAAGTAAATTTCTGCGCTGGGGACCGACCAGGGTTGCTCTTCTGCCTACAGCTAGGCTTCCATGACTGAGATAGGACAGTTACGCGGGACAAATCTCCGAGTGGTTATTCCTCATCGGCAGGGAAGATGCTTCACCTGGGCAGGCACTTCTGTAGACTTCCCCTAATCTTCATCAACCAACTGCGATACAAAGCTGCTATGCTTCTTGGGTCATGTGGCAGCTACCGTGCCCAATACCGAGCAAACCGGAATCCAAGTGAACAAAAACGGCAATTCGATTTTGTAAGAAACAATATATTTTATTTTTCTGACACCACAGCTCTGGTGAGTGGTTTTGTACCAAATTTAATGGAGGTTACACAGAACGTTTTACGCATGGGAGGGGGAGGGAAGGGAAGGAACCACAAAATCAAAAAACAAAAACAAAATCCTGGGTAGCTTTTAGCATCTGTTCCACTCCCACATTGATAAAATTCACTTGGGAATTCCTAATCAAAGGAGAACAGAAAACAAGGTGGGCAGGGAAGGGCGTGTCCCGGAAGAGAAGAAAGGGAAAAGAAGACCGTGGAGCATCCCAAGCACAGTGGCCTTTCCCTCCCGGAGCCAGAGCTGGAGCCCAGACGACACTCCACCTGGAAGGCGAGGCTTCCTTAGATTTACTTCCCCCAAATAACACCGTGTATTGCAGCTGCCAAAGGGAAAGAGGAGGAAAGCAGGGGTTGTCGGTGGCGGGGCACGGGGGTGAGGGAGGAAACACACGTAACCAAGGGGATGCGGAGGGGGAGGGGAGGGAAATGGAGAGAAAAACGTGAAGGTGGGTTTGCAGACTGGGAGAGACAGACAAGTGCCGGAGAGCACTCGAAATGAAAAACAAACGTCCTAAGCTTCATTATTTTTAAAAAGAAAAATCTCCCCCCTCCCCCCCACCCCTCGCTGAACTTAGTTCCTTTTTTTGTGCTTTTCATTAATACTCTGCTCTGAGGTCGTAGTTTGGTTTTTTTCTATACACTGGAGTTGAAAGAAAATAGTCCAAAGGTCTGAAGATGGATTCTCCACCTAAAGTAAACAGCCCAGCATTCCTGTTCTCCTCTTGTCCCAAAGACTAAAGTCTCTGCTAAAATCCCTTTTACAATATAGTACAGTACACAAAAAAATAAAGCCCAAAGCAAAAATCAAAACCAGAAAAGAATCCTGGGAGAAGCCAGTCCAAAGGACGTAAACATACAGAGAACGGTGCAACACATGACCGATGGCAATTCTCAAAGCACAACTACAGATTCCCAAAAGTAGGTGCCATCATGGGATACCCAAGTCCACAAAAATAATTTTTAAAAAATAAATCTTAAAAAAAACACACCTGTTGATTAAATGAATCATTTGTTTTCAGGTAAATCCATACATTCTCGAGTTCCCCCCGCCCCCAAAGCAGCCCTCGGGTCTCTGTTCTCCTATTGCATGACCAACAGTACTCCTGGAACTCCCTCAAAGCAGCTCTCAGGACCTGGAATCTCATCTTGACAAGGATCGGCACATCCAATCTTAGCAGCTTAAAACATCATGTTTCCTGGGTTGCCAGGTCCTTGGCTAAATCCACCCATGCCCACGTCGGCGGCCATGCCCCGGGGCCTCATCTGTGGGGGGATCATGATGTTCTGTTGGGGTCCCATCATGCCCTGCATGGACATCATCATGCCTGGAGAGCCCACAGGCCCAGGGTGGGTGTAGAGCCCAGCAGGCCCCCGATCCTTGCCAGGAATCATGCCCACGGCAGCAGCTGGATTGCTCATCAGGGTGGGCTGGCCGGGCATGGTAGATTGTGCTGGTGACATCATCCGATGGTGAGGTCCCATCATGCCTTGCTGGAGAAAGGCTGGTGGTCTCATTGGGTTGTGGCCCGGCATGGATGGGGCTGTACCAAGAGGGATGTCCGGAGTTCCCACTGGCCCTGGGCCTCCCATGCCAGGTAATGCTAGTCCCATTCTCGGGGCTTGTTCACCCATCATCCCCTGCATGTGCGAAAACCCAGGTCCAGGGCCCTGGGGCTGTTTACGGCCTGGGACTTCGCCTCGAGGGAAATATTGCAGTGTCTGGCTAGGCTTCTCAGATGGAATAATGCGAGACAGATCGAACTCTGGGATTCCGGTGGCTCCAGGTCGGATGACCTCCTGCAGATCTGGGTCTGTAAACACCGAAGGCATGCTGTTCCCCAGGACAGCGAAGGAGTCAGGACCCCCGGGGCCTCCAGGCTTGCAAAGTGCTGCATCTGCTGAACTCTGAGGCAGGGTGCTGGGGCGGCCGAGGGGGCCTTCTCCTGGGAAACCCATACCTCCTGGGAAGTTGCCCTGCCCCCCACTGGGGCCATTGTGAGGGAATGGAACCTGCTGTGGAGGAGACTGTACTGGAGGGAAGCCCTGAGGGAAACCCATCCGTCCTTGAGGTACCATCGGAGGCTCCTGGGACCCGTGCCCCATGATAGGATTGTGTGACATCAAGCCGGGCCCCATTGGGACCCCATGAGGAGGTATGTTGGGTCCCATGGCACTCGGAGAGGGCATCTGATTGGAGTGAGAAAGTGGTTGGGTCATTCCCATTGGGCTGAGGGTTGGCATCGGAACCACGGGGTTTGGACCTGAAATTCGAGGATTCTGTGTATTAATGCCCATTCCTAGAAAAATAAAGATATCAAAGGAATCACCTTAACCGAGAGCAACTTAGAAAAACTCTAATAAATCCAATTAACAACAACAACAACAAAAAATCTTCATGTATCAAATGTGCAAGGGACTCTGCTGGGAAAACATACAACACGAAATCCCTGCCCTCAACAAGATTAAAATACATTTTGGAGCATACAAGCCAACAAACAGCTCTACAAGAGGATATATATTTGAGTCTTAAACTGTATGACATAAGGGTATGAAGAAAACAACTAGGAAGAAAGTCTCCTGGGTGAAA